CGCTCTTCCCCGCTTAACCGCAAACCATCGAGCATTGTCTCCGTTGTACATCGGTATACCTAATCGAACCTAGCCGGATATTGGTGTTGGTTTTTCTTTTCATTTTTGTTTGAGTCTTGATAATAACCCTACTTGCTTTGCTTAATAATATTGCTTCCGTTATTGTGGTTTGAGTTAATTTTGTATCATTTGGTATCAGAGCTAGTCTAATCTTAGTCTTATCCTACAGTTTTCTAGCATCCACCCTACCCCCCCAAAACAAACTTTATTTCTTTCTCATCCCCAACCTCTTCCAATCTCAAATCCTAATTTTGTTGCCACGGAGATACATGTCGGAACCTACCCGTGACCAGATATAGTGAGAGATCCATCGGCTCAACAGAGGCTCGCGGAGATTGATAATGAAACCTAGAGGGGGATTACCCTCAACTACGATCTCGATAGTTGAAGGGGAGATGAGAACGAGGATTTGAATCCATTTCACAGAGAAGACATCGGTGATGAGGAATATAGGCCCCGTCACCTCGGAATTCAGTATCAAGGGAAGCCGAGAAAGGAGCCTATATATGGAGGACAGGAATTTTGGCATCAAGGTGGACCTACCAGAGTTCGATGGAGGTATGGATCCGGACGACTTTATCGATTGGATGCAATCTATTGAATGAATCTTCAAATACAAGGAAATTTTAGAGGATAAACAGGTAAAATTAATAGTCATCAAGCTGAAGAAGAGTCTCCTAGAGTGGGAAAACTTATACAGGCAAACAAGAGAGAATGCAGTGATAAAATTACCAAGCAAAAAAAGATAAAGAAAGAGATGCATAAGCAAATATCTTCCAGCTCATTACCGCCAGGATATACTCTGAAACTTCACCAACTACAACAGAAAGACCTTTTAGTTAAAGAGTTCACAGCGCAGTTCAACCAGTTACAGATGAAATTTGAGTTGGTTAAGCCAAACGAGCACACGATAGCCCATTACCTTACGGGTACCTGAGCCATTAATTAGCATTGTTGCGCAATTACATCCATATTGATCATCTGAAGGATGTCCAAACCTTAGCCTTGAAGGTGGAAAGGCAACAGAAATAGAGCCGGCAACAATCCTCATTCAGACTGTAGTTCTCAATCAGCGAGTTACTTATCGCTACATCGGCCGACAAGGGTACTACTGAAGGAATTGTCAAAAAATGATAGGGGAATGATCAGACAGATCAGAGTGAACAAGAATCCAGAAAAGGGTAGTCAAATGCCACGGCTACGGACACAGCATTTAATCATCCAATGAGCGGGTTGTTTCATTCACAAATCAGAGCGCCGTCGAGTAAGAG